GGGACAGGGGACCTCGGTTGAATCCCCAGCTCACCTGTCTTACCAGACCCTCCTTTAGGGAAGCATGAACCAGCCAGAAAAGAAAGAAGAAAGAAGAAAGAAAAGAAAAGAAAAGAAAAGAAAAGAAAAGAAAAGAAAAGAAAAGAAAAGAAAAGAAAAGAAAAGAAAAGAAAAGAAAAGAAAAAGATTACTGGTTTGGAAAGAAACGAAAGGTTGGTTGTGGTGGTATGAACCTGTAATCCCAGCCCTAAGAAGGATGAGTTGGAGGCTAGGCTGGACTACAAAGGCAAAACTTGTCTCAAAAAAAAGTCAAACGTTTCAGGGTGTATTTAAGAAAAAGAAGAGGAAGAGAAAGCGTAAGCGCTCTTTTGCATCAAATTATTTACAAAATCAGACCCTTGTAAACTTTTGTAATTAACTGAATATAGAGACAGCGTTGCTTAGGTAAAATACATGACTGATGAAAATTTCTAGGGTAAATTTGATTTTCAGATAAAAAAATCTGTCTAAATTTTTTTGGTACCGGGAATGGAACTCAGGACCTTGCGCTTGCCAGGTGGGCACTGTGCCGCTGAGCTGTATCCCCAGTCCCTTTTGCATATTTTAAAAGTATGTGTATGTTCCAAACAGTGATATTACAAAATTTAATTGCATTGTAACCTGGTATTCTATTGATTTGCTAAATTTTTGATAAAAGGTATGTATTTGCAAATAGTTTGGCAGTGAAAGACAAAAATAAAATCTTTTTTCAGTAAAGCGATTTTTGTAAAGCACCCGAATTTAATTAATTTTAGTTAATTTAGAGATTGAGTTAATTTTCAGAATGGGAGTCTTGAAACCAGCACAGCGCGGGCAGATCTTGAAAATCCAGTTCTGCAGAGTAGCCAGGCAAGGCTGGTTACAGAGTAAACTGGCCCCGCCCACCCGGGGAGACGTGATACTGGCGGGAGCCAAAGCGGAAGCGGGCTGCACTGCCGCGCGGCTCCAGGTAAGTGACCTCTTCTGTTTTCTCTAGGTCAAAGCTCTGAGAAGTGTTTAAAAATTGAAGCCAGCGAGGCCGCGGACCAGAGGGCAGGTGCCGTGCCCGAGGCAGGCGGGCAGGCGGCAGGGGCGGAGCCTCCCGCACCCGCGGTCAGGGCGCAGGTGGAGCAAGGCTGGGGAGGGGGCTCCCCGAGGAGTTGGGGGATGCTGTGCCCCGTTCTTTGACTACTGAGCATAGCCCCCAGAAAAATCGCAGGTGGAAGTAGAGACCTTTTACCCGGGATCATCAAAAGTACAGACTTTATTCATGCACCAAATTCACTCTTTTTTTTTTTTTCTTAAGATTTTAATTATGCGAACTCCTGCTTGTGTTGAACCTAATATTAGACATCGTTACTCATGTGAAGGTTACCTAGAACTTTACTTTTAAATTTTATCATGTTAAAGCGAAAGGGGAATTTTCACCTAGAAATGTGTTGTTTGGAATGTTTCCAGTTTTAGCTCTTCTTCTTCTTCTTCTTCTTCTTCTTCTTCT